TTATACACGTATTCCCTAGACTACAAGCACTCAAAAAACACTAATGTAAAATATAAATTTGTTATTTCATTCTTCAATTTAATAAAAGTATGTTGCTACACAAGATAAAAGATTGGGATTTTAAAAAGTGTAGACGAGTGATAGATTACCATGTAAAGATGGGACTTTTGCAAGCATCTGAGCAGAAACCTAGATTACCATGTGTGGGTTGGCATGGTAGAACCGATCGGACATTTTAATTCTCTCTAGTCTTTAGAGACTTTGGAACTATGGAAGAGGACAGTAAGTACGTAACATGCTGTTCAACTTAGGAAAAATATCACTTTCCAGTTTCCTGTATTGAGTAACAATGAATATATCGACTCAAACCTTATTTGAGTAAAATTACCCCTCTTAAATGGGAATCATTCTTGATGTACGTACACACTTTTGTACATTGTCTTTGTACATAGGTAATTGAGAGAAGAATGTTGTTTTTTCGTAAAGAATTGTCTGTGCACACAGGTAACTAGGTGTGTATGTACAAAAGTGTGTACAAATAGATTTTTCGCTCAACAGGATGGTCTTGTACTTTCTGAATTCAATTATTAAGAGTGTAGTCAATTGATCCATATACTCTTGCTTCTTAGTATTGTTTATTATTTTAATTTTATTATTCATAAAAAAAGTTTTTACTACTTTTAGTCTCCTGATTAGTATGTGAGTGACATTTTTAGTAATCAACTTTAATTTTTTTCATTTTTAGTAATTTGACTATTGTGTAAAAAACATTTTTGGCACCTGTCATTGAAGTTTTTCATGTCTAATTTGTTGATTTTTATAAAAATGACACTTTTAGTCTTTCAACTTTTATCATAGTGATATTTTTTCCTTCACTTATTGTATCAAAATGATATTGAAAGAACTAAAAGTGTCAATTTGACGTTGGGAACTAAATGTGGATAATTTTGAAGTCAGAGACTAAAAGTGTTTCCCGCACAATAGTCGAAAAACAAAAAATAAAAAAAATAAAAGTTCAATATCAAAAGTGTCACAGACATAATAGTCGGATGACTAAATTAAAAGTGACAAAAAGCTTTCACAAAATGAGGTATACATGGTAATCTACTTTAACTTTCTTAACAAAAAGGAAACAAGATAATCATTTTGGAACATTCACATTAATAAATACAGGGCGATCTTTTTGAAACGGAGGAAATACTTCCTTCACATATATAACAACAGCATTCCCCGATGCCCCAGATGCCGCAAAGAGTCCCACATATGGGGGATGTGGGGTTGGATGTTTGCAGTTTTATCCATGTGCTTCCTTCATATATGCATTACCAAAAAGTGATTGTCCTCAAGCATTATATTATTAATGGTTTTTAATTGCACTCAAATTTAAGGCCAAATTTGTTTGTCCCGATTTTTGTAAAATTGATTTAACCTAGACTGTTACTACCTCCTTGCGCACTATGTTTGGAACAAGAGGATGTGACACAACTTCTAAAAAAATGAAATTGTGTGGATGATATTGAATTGATAAAGTGTGAATAAAGTAAGAATGAATTGTAACTACCCAAATATTACCAAATATGGTACGTGACAAACTTAATGAGACGGACGAAAAAGGTAAAATGAGACAAAGTTAGGGGACAGAGGAAGTAAAATTTAATTTGGTCTACTAGGTGATTGATATGTGTGTATTTCACTATTATTTAAGTATGATCTAATTTGTCTAAGTCTTGTTCGGTCGGTTAAATCCGACCTAGTCTAATGACTAAAGATCAGTTCAATTAAAAACGTATCATTCTAAAACAGAGTTTAATTGAAAATCGGCTTTGTTTGAAAGGGTTCGAACAATGCAGAGCGTTGATTTGAGGAAGAAATCAGGACTTTAATTGAAAATCCTTGAGATGCATTACAATCCTTATTATACTCACAATGAAGGCTCGTGTTTTGAGTTAGGGTTGGGCGTTTTTTAACCTTTGAATTCTCTTTTTTACCCAACCTAGTAAAGGGCAATGTGCCAATGTTTTGTCTTACCCTCCAAAGGGCTTTCCCTCCAAAGGTGTTGTCATTGTTTTGGATTACCGCCACGGGTCTCATCTGACATGAGACTGAAACGAGTCCAAATAAAAACATCCTTAATAAGCAAACATAAATCATTTTGGTAAGCAAACATATGCTACAAATCTAATCATATCCATTTAAAGATGTATATAGGCACTTCAATTCAAATTAATAAAAGTGGTTGAGCTCATCTTTAGATAGGGTCATGTGTTTCATTCTTTATCAAAGTGGTTCATGTGTTTGAATTCCGTTATCACAAGAGGGTCACGCCGTTAAAAACGTCTGAAAATGAGCGTTAAAAATAACTTCGATTTTCAAAAGTGCCCAAAAAATTAAAAGAAAAATACCAAAAGGCACGCCTCAATAAGATGACCCCTGGGGCATCTTTTTTTTTGTTTTCAGTCACCCTTGTCACCGAAAAGTCCATCGGAAAAGTGATATTAGCGAAAAATCCAAAGGTGAAAGTGGTTTGGAGGTCATCTTGATGAGACGGACCATTTTTTTTATATACTTTTTCAAGTACCTTTTTTATACTTTTCCCTTAATAAAACCATGTTAGATTGTATACAGCTAGCTAGTTTGCGTTTTCAAAATATGTTATTTTCAACTTCAATTCTGCTTTGAATTTTACAAAATATATTTGTCTTTAATTTCAAATTTGAATGGATTATATTTTGACACATAACACTGCCATATTTTACACAATACTGTTGTAGTAGAAACTAGAAAGTGAAATTTGGGCCACATCGATGCATATGACAATAATGCAAATCCTCTATTATACAAAACCAAGGGAAAATTTTGTACAATGTTCCCACCCAAACACTTTACAGTAATGGGCCGGGTCAAGATACTCATGGGTGCAAAGACGGGTCAGCATCAAGGCCCATTATGGGTGTATGTACAGATGGGTTAAGCTAAACGTGGGTGCATTGTTTCGATTGTTCATGAATAACAGAACTATCACATTTAATCAAATCATACGTAGTATATGCTAACTAATTGGTTAAATTTATTATGTTGTAAATATAAATAATAAATTAATAATAAAATTTAGGTATATATACAAACATATATAGTTTTTCATATATAATTTGCAACTTCGTTTCTTTATACCTGTGGCTAAAGTTAGAGGTAATTATATCCCTTAGAAAATTAATATTAAAAAGTAAAGTAATGTGAGACAAATCTAAACTATCTAGGCAGCCTATTAGTTGCTCTGAGCGGACAACTAGACGCCATAGGTGCCCGACTAATTCACCTCGACGACAAATCAATTAGGGTGTTGTTACTTGGACTGAAGTTTAGAAATGGTTTGGCAACTGTGTGATCTTTGTAGATTTTATAACTGTCCAATTATAATCTGATCTTTTCTGAACTAGTCTCATCTGGCATGAGACTGAAATCAGTCCAAATAAAAACATCCTTAATAAGCAAACATAAATCATTTTGGTAACCAAACATAGGCTATACATATAATCATATCCATTTAAAGATGTATATAGGCACTTCAATTCAAATTTACTTGATTATCTTTAATTAATAAAAGGGAAAAGTGCGGAAAATGTATTTGTGGTTGAGCTCATCTTTAGATAGGGTCACGTGTTTCATTCTTTATCAAAAGGGTTCATGTGTTAGAATTCCGTTATCACAACAGGGTCACACCGTTAAAAACGTCTGAAAAAGACCATTAAAAGTAACTCTAATTTTCAAAAGTGTCCGAAAAATTAAAAGAAAAATATCGAAAGGTGCGCCTCAATAAGACGACCGCTGGGCCATCTTTCTTTTTTGTTTTCAGCCACCTTTGTCACCGGAAAGTCCATCGGAAAAGTGATATTAGCGAAAAATCCAAAGGTGAAGGTGGTTTGGAGGTCATCTTGATTAGGGACACCTTTCATTATTTTTCTTTTAATTTTTCGAGCACTTTTGAAAATCGGAGTTACTTTTAACGATCTTTTTCAGACGTTTTTAACGGCATAACTAGACCTGTACAAAAAGGGGTTCGGGCCGGGCTCAGGCCGGGCTTTTTATAAATTGTATGCCCATCATGTGTGGGCGGGTCCGACCCAGCCCGCAAAAATGGGCCTAACCCTATGTCCATACCCGTCCATAGGAGCGGGCCGGGTAGTCCACTGGGCCGCCCGGCCCGGGAAAACTTTAATTTTTCAAAATTATATAATTTTTTAAATACTTCAAAAATAATATTACAACATTCAAAAAATAGTTAATACACTTATAATGTTTATACGTCTTTCACCACATACAAAAAAAATACTTACACACAAATAATAATGAGAAACTATATCTAAAATTTAAAATTTAAGCACAAAGTATTATCTTTAAGTACAAAAATAGATATTATATTGGTTGGGCTAGTTGTTAAGAACTAAAAATTTAAATTTAAACATAATAAACTATGAATATGTATAAAAAAAAATTAGTAAATATAAATATACATGTGTATATGCAAATAAATAAATAAATTAGTACATATTTATATATACTAAATGTAGCGGGCCGGGCTTATCACCCCGAACGGGCCTACACCCTAACCCAAGCCCGCCGATATCTTATTGTGGGTCGGACTCGGGCTGGCCCGGTGGGTAAATATATATGCCCAAGCCCGCCCATTTGTGCGGGCGGGATGGGCGGGCCGGGCGGGCCGGGCCGGTTTTGTCTAGGTCTAGGCATAACCCTCTTGTGATAGGAGAAATCAAACACATGAACTACTTTGATAAAGAACGAAATGACTCTATTTGAAAACGGCCCAACTACAAGTACCTTTTCTGTACTTTTCCCTTAATAAAACCATGTTTGATTGTATACAGGTAAGGTAAAATGTGAACAAAAGAGTAGATGGTATCATTTGAATCAAAACGTATAGGGTGAGTTCCTCAAATATAAGTAACATGACCATATTTGCTACCGATTACTTCATTACTTCTCAAAATAGTTACAATATTGAGACTCTTATTTCGAGAAAAAACATCACAACAATAACGACTCTTTTTTCGAGAAAAAAAGATTGTAATCCTAATTTGAATTCGTCACTATTTGACTTGTTTTTATAGTTTGACCATCTTTATTTCAGTTTCACATGATCTTATTATATACTACGTACTTCGTACATTAAAGTAGGCTTGCATCGTGTACATGTATATAGATATATGAATCGCAAATACGATAATACATGTCTCTAATTAAACACATGATTAAGATTAGACCTATTCCTTTTTTCAATTAAACCACAATCCAAATCGCCGGTTTTGAAACTAAAATAAGAACCATCCTACCATTCAGAAGCAACATTTTTTACTACGATACTATCCGATTTGGTTTTCCAAAACCATTGAACCGGAAGAGCGGAATCAGGTTTAGAGCCTTTTTTTAGACCTATGCACAGGTTTAGAATCTAAATCGTTCATGATTTTTTATTTTATATATCAAATTTTTATCAAATTCGTATTCTCCGATAAAGGTTCTCACTCCCACTTTATTTAAATTTATGATCGGTGTGTCCGAGAACCTTTGGGGAGAGAGGGAATATATAGATTAGGAGTGATCTATTGAACTCAACCCGAGAGAGATGTCTTTAAACCCAAGAAGTGAGTGAGCTCGGGCAAGATGGGAGTCTTGACTTCAGCCCCATGGGGTTGAACCACCCTATTAGTCTGACTTTGATGAGGACTAGGCAAAACCGGACCGGGCGAATAAGGGTCGTCTTGCGTCGGCTCGTCGGTCTTCGGCTGATGCGGCGGTGGGCCGGGAGGCATCTCTTGTGGAGTCCGGTCATAGTCAGGCACGCTGGGGGCTTGAGGAACCTCAGATGACTCGGTGGGCATATCCGGGGGTGGCGCCGCGGGGAACTCCGGCGGAGGTTTGCCGGAGGATGAACCGGCCGTGGCCGTTACTAGAGGATTTGCTTTAAATGTAGCTTGTGGAAAAAATGAAGGCCTTGTCATTTTCATCCTTGACGCGAAAACGACGGGAACAATTTTCTTCATCATTAAGAAGGCCATATTGCTTTGTTTTATTGCCGTATGGTAATTATTGGAGTATTATATATGGATGAGATGGGAAAAAATATTCATCATCAGAATATCGAAACGGTGGCGGGCGCGTCCACGTGGTCCGCCACATGGAATGGGTTGACTACATTTGTCCACCTGTTGTGTGTGGGTCGTGGACACGTGGAAAGCTGATGACCATGATGCCATGCAAAACTTTTCTTATCCACACAAGTTATTCATTTTTCTTCGGTATCCAAAATTTATCAAATTCATAGTTTAATTTCATAAGAAATTATAAATTGCTCCAGCCACTCGGGGAGTATTATTTGCGATAGAAAAACGGAATGTTTTTCTAGTTTACGAAAATCATCAAATTATACAAGGCGTCATTAATATCATTCACACATAGAAATCAAAATAAACAAATGCAACCATTCATGTAGCGAAACAATGTAATTAGAAATCAAGCCACACATGACCTAACAACCATTCATGAGTATTGTTTTTAAGTATTTAAAAGAAGATACAGAGGAAACATGAACCACATCTTCACTCTCAAGCAACGAGCACAAATAGAAGCTCTAATAACTTCAATCTGAAATGGTGGCATGCCCAAATGTGTAAGTACTTTCCTCTAACTTCAAGGTTGACGCCTTGAATTTTTTATTTTCAAATAACATTTTTTATTTAAATAATTACAATAATAATTACATATTTATGACAATATGTCTGTTTCACTATAACGGTCTTAACAAGATACAATATGTTTTTTTTTTAAATTTATTTGCTTATTTAATTTTGGGTGTCATATGCATGTATCTTGCCCTCCGACTCTGTGGCACTTTCTTGGATTACACTTTGTGAGTATAAATATTAATCTATTTACATGCATTTTTTTCAATTCCGGAAATGAAAGATGGATTAATTATCAATTCGAGACCTGAAAGATGAAACAAATCGGGATAGGACTCGAATGATGGAAAACTATCATTTCATAGGTTTTGGTTTGTTTTTTTTATTAATTTCATTGCTAGTTTTTGATAAACTTTTCTTCATAAAATTTTATTAGTTTAATAAAGCTAAATAATATTTAAAATAAAAAAAGTAATAAAATTCATGACAACTTAGGTTCTAGATTGATAGTTTTTCAATCATTCATGTCCTAAATTGATAGTTTTTCATCATTCGGGTCTTATATCGATATACTACATCTTTCAGGTTCCGGATTGATATTTCATCTATCTTTCAGGTCCTAGATGGATAAAATTCCTTATTTATTTTGAGTATACAAAGTAATTGAAGGAATAATCCTTACCCTTAATAACTACACAAATCAAGGAGATATTACAGGATGAGTAAAATAATAATTGTACACATAGTAACACAAAGGTAGCGTGACATGCTTAATTAATTATTAATATCAACTACTGTACTAGTCTACTGTACGTACAGAACATTTCAACCTTAGAAATTAAGCATTAAAATGATTATATGAAGGTGACAATTCTAACTCCGATATTTTTCTAAAAAATGAGGTACCGTACCTATCATTCATTTCATTGGATCACATCACATTATCATTTTTCAATTAGATTTAAATAATTCAACTGTTACATTCTCATTGGTCCATGTGGACAAAAGTATGGTACCTTATGGGTATCATAAAATCCACCGAATTACATACATGTTGACTCTAGAGAATTTCTACCGCCTTTGAAATTAAATGTCAGCATCTTGAAGATTCTAGCTAATTTTGGGGTTTCCGACATGCATATAAGTATATAACTATGGTGTTAATACAGCCTGTTCTACCATTTTGGTCAAACACTAGGACTAATGGACTATCACCCTAGGTAAATTTAAGTGAATTACTTCATGGGATCCTAAATAAATTTCATATAGTTTGACTTTACCGCTAGTAAGAAAGTAGAATTTTTGTTTTTTATTTTCCCATCATACCTCTATAGAAAGTAGATTATATATAGTGAGAGAGAAAGTGAGTGTAGAATTGGCAATAAAGTAAGTATATATAGGTAACTTTATATAAAAAACTTACCGAAAGTAATGTGAATTTTATTTTAGATTTGCTCGAAAAGAAAATTGTGAAGTTTGTTTAGGACTCAGATCTAAGTATATATTACTCTACTATGAAGTCATACGTGACATTTCTATGGCCTAAGACTATCACTATAGGTATAATTTAGTGAATTATATATTACTCTACTGTGAAGTCATATGTGATATTTCTATGGCCATTCATTTATACAGAGAGGTCCCCAATTATGACTCCATCTACTTTAAAAATAATACTTCGTATATAGTTATAATAGATTCCAAAATAAAGATAACTCTTTCTACGTAATACTCGTATAATTCACTAAAAAAGATAATAGGTCACCATTTTTTTTTGTTATAATAGATTCCATATATCATTCAAAGACCTAGAAATGAAGCACGGATTTTTGATATGACGTTTCCCTTTGCATCCTTAAATATGAGTAAATAAATGTTGAACTACAAGAGCGGTGAATAAATTTTAAATTTTCAAAATACAAATAACTTTTTCTACCTTATTCTTGTCATATTTTAAATACAAAATACATAGCAAAAGGATAAAAATATAACATGCATGCTCAATAGAATCCCCCCATTTAAGTTTTAATGAATCTAAAATGGAAACAAATATAATTGATGAATTAAATTTATCAATTGTAGATATTAAGAAAAAATCGAAATGGAAAATTAAAGTGTCACAAATTACAAATTTACTATTACGACCGCCCAAAGTCGTTCTATGATTCTATTTTGGGTACCGACCAAGTAATAAAAAATGCGTGGTGTACACCTTTTGTGTACACACGTCTGTTCCAGCAGACGAGTTGTCTGTCCACAGACAAATCTATCCAAGCAAAGTTGCCAAGTAATACTTCGTCCTGTTGCTGTGCACGTATATGTGCATCGCTTGTTAAAACACAATTAAGATAAAAACTAAATCAAAGCCCCAAAAAGTGGAATAGCCCACACTCTAAACGTCCCCATGATCTGATTAAAAACAATAAATCACATAATGATCTCAAACAATTTTTGAATAATTTGGTTTAGAGCCCGATGCTTATGAGGAAACATCGAGAGAAACATCAAGAAAATATCAAAATGGGTCATGAACTTGTTTCAAATTGAGTAAGTATCGGGATCAGTCCTAAGAAATTTTCAATTGGTCGAAGTTACTGTGGAGCACGAATAAAGTAAGAATAAATGATAACCACATAAATTTTACTAAATATGGTACTCCGTATGTGACAAAGTTAGTGAGATGAAAGAAAAAGATAAAATAGGATAAAAATAGGGGGACAGAGGGAGTAGTAAAAATGTTGCTCCCATATTTTGGTTCGAACATTGCTCTATATACAACCTAGGCGGTCTATCCTAGATAGACTGGTTCCAATCTCGGACAGATTGGTCATATCTTTCATTCCGTTTCACCTTAATTTCTTGTCTATATGTTATGAATCAACTACGAGTTAGGAGTGTTTGGAAATGATCATGCTTGTGATTCTTTTTTAAAAGTAGAAATTAAGTCAGAGTCAGTTTTTCAGAAACTTATATCTCCCATCTTCTAAAAAATGTTTCTAGGAGCAATTTGAAACACTTACAAGTACTTATGCACTTCTATCCAACACTTTCATATATGCTTCTATTCGTTGATGAAGCATAAGCCGTTTTAAGATCAGAAGTAGTCCAAACATCCCCTAATTTAAAGTCTTACAGAAGCAACTATACTCAGCTGCTGAGCAACTCCGTGAAGGTAGGAATAATCATGGGGAGTAAGACCTCCCTCCTCTCCCCTAAATGTGCCTACACTACAAGAAAATGATGTTAATGCCTACGGAAATTAACGACGGAAAAGTTGAACTTTGGATGGGAAATTTAAATACCGACGGAATTACCGACGGTTTGACGTCGTTGGGAATATGCTCGTAGGTAATAATATTACCGACGGATGTATGAAACTCTAGGTAAGTTACCTACGAAATTCCGAAGTAAAAAATAATATTTCCTAGGCAAACTAAAAAATAGATCAATAATTTTTTGTCGGTAATAAATATTTCCGTCGGTAATATCCGTCGGCAATATCCGTTGGTAGTTTTGAGATGATGACTTTCAAACTTGCCTACCAAATTTCGTCGGTAAAACCATACGAATATCCCCCCAAATACAATGCCTATAAATGGATAATTGTAACCAATCTAAACATCAAGCATAATAGGAAGTGAAAAATAAAATAGTAATGAGTATCAAATTAGAATAGAGTACCAGAATGATAAGTATCATACATTACAAAACATCATTAGTGATTCTAGATAGCATAACTAAAGCTCTAGTGAACTAAATGATATGTGACCATCAATGTTATCCTCGCTCTTAACTGCTTGGGGCTGGTTGTGATGATGATTTAAAGAACTCCCGAACCTGGCGTTGAACCTCTTCACGCATCTCAAGTTGCATTTGTTCACGCATCTCAAGTTGCATTTGTTCACGCATTTCTTCACGCACCACTTTACGTAATTGTTCAGCTTCTTGCTCAAACAGTTTCTAAACTTGAGAATGAATTTCAGCAGATGACGAACCTAATGATGTTGCTGTGGATGCTGCCCCGCCATCATCATTACCATAAAACATAGATGCCCCAGATCCTGTTCCATATACTCTATCTCGTATGTGACCACCAACAACCTCATAGTAGATTTTATTGATCTGCTCTTCAGTAAGTTCTTCAATTTGGGTTTCCCGCTTTAAGGCTTCTGCTTTTGCTTGAAATGCTTCCTAAGAAGTGTATGGACACAAACAATAAGATATAAAACTAAAACATTCAACTAAGTTTAAAATTTTGTTGTATAACTTACATAAACTTTACGGGAGCGCTCATCAATGAAGGTGACTCGATCATGTTTCTTTGTATGAGTATATAAAAATAGATCAAGGACATTGGGCTTCCTGTTTAATTCTTTCTCCTGCACAAGAAAAATTATGCGTATGACATATAAAATCCAATATTCGTGTATAAATTAAATCTGAAATCTGACAAAGTTTCCCCTATTTGCACACCAATCTCTAGCATATAACAAATATGCAATTCATATTTTTTACTTAGAAAAGTACTCCACACATACACAAAGTAACATTGGTTTACATGACAAGACAACAAGAATATTTAAATGAGCAATGAAATTAGTGCACATGATCCTTAAATTTACAGCAATGGACCAGCTGAAAAGTCCCCTTTGAGATTTACAATTTCAATCTCCTTTACTTGCAAATGTAACCTGGAATAAATAAATATAAAGCATGAAAGTCTTCTAGTTAAAGAAGTACAAATAATGGGTAGGGAATGAATTTGAGAATGAATTTGAGCTGTAAATCAAGGCTAATAA